TACACAATACATAAAAAAATACATGAAAAATTACATAATACATGATGCACAATATATAATACACAATACATAAAAAACATGAAAAATTACATAATACATGATACACAATATACAGTGAGGAAAATAAGTATTTGAACACCCTGCGACTTTGCAAGTTCTCCCATGTAGACATCATGTAGGGGTCTGAAATTTTCATCCTAGGTGCATGTCCACTGTGAGAGACATAATCTATAAAAATTTAAAAAAAATCTTGAAATCACAATGTATGATTTTTTTAATAATTTGTGTGTTACTGCTGCAAACAAGTATTTGAACTAGGGATGCACCAATCCACTTTTTTAAACTTCCGATCCGATCCCGATACCTAAGTCTGAATATCGGCCGATACCGATCCAGTTCCAATATCATGATCATCATTGATTTTATATGAGGCTGTAATAATCTCCTCTCAAGTACAATTTGTACAAATATATGCATGCATGTCCAAAAAGGCAACTTGAGGTAAGTTGTATTAATTTTGGATAAGTTTTAAAGTTAGAATTAAATTCTAACACAAAACATGTTTCTTTTTATTCCTAGCTTTAAAGTGGATATTAAAGTGATTAATTTAAGTGATTGTTTAAAGTTATTTTATATTATTTTAAATAAGGGGCAGATATAAGAATTATTTTCTTCTTTCCGCACTCTTTTCATTCAATGTTTTCTTTTTCATGATTTTTATTTATTTATTTTGTTTCTTTTAAATGAATGAATTAAATTAAATGTTAAATGGCTTCAAACACCTGCTAAATTCATGGCATAAACCAACGGACATGTTCCCGTTTTTAGTATTTTACATCACTTTATAATGTAGCTGAATTTGTTTTTAATATAATTTTCAAATCATATGTTTTTTATGATTGTCTACTGTTGCACTGATAAATATCTCCTGGAGGGTAAACTATATCTTGGCTGCAAGTATCAAGTTGTGAAATCCTTCGTTTTCTGATAGTGGTTGCTCATGAATCATGATGAAGTTTAGCAACTTCTCTGTAAACATTTGAGTTCCGTGGTTTCAGCGATGTCTTCTTCTTGTTCAATCTGAAGCAGGCAGCCTGATTTGGGGCAGCCGCGCTCAGTCTGTCCCTCCTCAGAGACGGGCAGACTGAGCGGGGCAGATTGGACGTGGCTGGCCAGGGTCGAGTCGCCTCTTTCCGGTTGAGCAAAGAGCAGCGCCCCGCTGAAGCCACGGAGCTCGAATGTCCATCGTAAAACTAACTTTACCGCAGTTTAATGTGGTGCTATGGCTCTGCAGACATTGCACGTTGCTGCATTGCTTTGTGGTGTTTTTAGTGTAAAATACTTCCACACAGCGGATATGTTTAGATGAAAAGTTTGTTAGCTGTTAGCCACAGTGCTGCTAACTCAGCCCTCACGTTGTAGCTGGCTGCAAACTATGAAATGGATTTTCTGAATGTGAGGCGGGTCTTATTACTCTGAGTTCATTACACACTGCCGTTCAGGAAATCCATTCCATAGTTTGAAGTCAACGTGCATCATGGATCGGAAATATCGGCAGGTGGATCGGAAAATCTGATACGTAAATTATGCTGGTATCGGAGGCTGATACTGATACTGGATCGGATCGGCCCCATCCCTAATTTGAACACCTGTGAAAATCAGTGTTAATATTTGGTACAGTAGTCTTTGTTTGCAGTTACAGAGGTCAAAGGTTTCCTGTAGTTTTTCACCAGGTCTGCACACACTGCAGCAGGATTTTGGCCCATTCCTCCACACAGATCTTCTCTAGATCAGCCAGGTTTCTGGGCTGTCACTGTGAAACATGGAGTTTGAGCTCCCTCCAAAGATTTTCTGTAGGGTTTAGGACTGGAGACTGGCTAGGCCACTCCAGAACCTTGATATGCTTCTTACGGAGCCACTCCTTGGTTATCCTGGCTGTGTGCTTCGAGTCATTGTCATGTTGGAAGACCCAGCCATAACCCATCTTCAATGCTCTAACTGAGGGAAGGAGGTTGTTCCCCAAAATCTTGCAATACATGGCCCCGGTCATCCTCTCATTAATACATTGCAGTCGTCCTGTCCCATGTGCAGAAAAACACCCCCAAAGCATGATGCTTCAACCCCATGCTTCACAGTAGGGATGGTGTTTTTGGGATGATACTCATCATTCTTCGTCCTCCAAACACGGCGAGTGGAATTAAGTTTTTGGTCTCATCTGACCACATAACTTTCTCCCATGACTCCTCTGGATCATCCAAATGGTCATGGGCAAACTTAAGACAGGCCTGGACATGTGCTGATTTAAGCAGGGGAACCTTCCGTGCCATTCATGATTTTAAACTATGACGTCTTAGTGTATTACCCACAGTAACCATGGAAACAGTGGTGCCAGCTCTCTTCAGGTCATTGACCAGCTCCTCCCTTGTAGTTCTGGGCTGATTCCTCATCTCTTAGGATCATTGATATGCCACGAGGTGAGATCTTGCATGGAGCCCCAGTCTGAGGGAGATTAACAGTCATGTTTAGCTTCTTCCATTTTCTAATAATTGCTCCAACAGTTGATGCTTGCCAAATGCCCCGTAGCCCTTTCCAGCCTTGTGGAGGTCTACAATTTTGCAAGTCGGCTGCCCTACCTCTACACCATCTAGACTCCATAAATACATACAATACACAATATGTGATACACAACATAAAATATGATGCATGAAACATGTTTGAAAGGCATCATACTATTGTGCTTGAAAAGACTGCAGTGTGTTTAAAAATGTGATTAAAGCTCAAAATCCTTGGAATAGATTTTTTTTTCAATGCACTGGGAACACTGCACATTATATTCTAAATCAAACCAAAAAGAAAACTTTACCGGTATATACAGTGCCTTGCGAATGTATTCTGCCCCCTTGAACTTTTCAACCTTTTGCTACATTTCAGGCTTCAAACATAAATATATAAAATTTAAATGTTTTGTAAAGAATCAACAACAAGTGGGACACAATCTTGAAGTGGATGAAATTTATTGGATGTGTCAAAATTTTTTAACAAATAAAAAACTGAAAAGTGGGGCATGCAATATTATTGGGCCCCTTTACTTTCAGTGCAGCAAACTCACTCCAGAAGTTCAGTGAGGATCTATGAATGATCCAATGTTGTCCCAAATGACTGATGATGATAAATATAATCCACCTGTGTGTAATCAAGTCTCCATATAAATGCACCTGCTCTGTGATAGTCTCAGGGTTCTGTTCAAAGCGCAGAGAGCATCATGAAGACCAGGGAACACACCAGGCAGGTCCAAGATACTGTTGTGGAGAAGTTTAAAGCCGGATTTGGATACAAAAAGATTTCCCAAGCTTTAAACATCCCAAGGAGCACTGTGCAAGCAATCATATGGAAGGAGGATCAGACCACTGCAAATCTACCAAGACCCGGCCGTCCCTCTAAACTTTCATCTCGAACAAGAAGAAGACTGATCAGAGATGCAGCCAAGAGGCCCATGATCACTCTGGATGAACTGCAGAGATCTACAGCTGAGGTGGGAGAGTCTGTCCATAGGACAACAATCAGTCGTACACTGCACAAATCTGGCCTTTATGGAAGAGTGGCAAGAAGAAAGCCATTTCTCAAAGATATCCATAAAAAGTGTTGTTTAAAGTTTGCCTCAAGCACCTGGGAGACACACCAAACATGTGGAAGAAGGTGCTCTGGTCAGATGAAACCAAAATCCAACTGTTTGGCCACAATGCAAAATGATATGTTTGGCGTAAAAGCAACACAGCTCATCACCATGAACACACCATCCCTGCTGTCAAACATGGTGGTGGCAGCATCATGGTTTGGGCCTGCTTTTCGTCAGCAGGGACAGGGAAGATGGTCAGAATTGATGGGAAGATGGATGGGGCCAAATACAGGACCATTCTGGAAGAAAACCTGTTTGAGTCTGCAAGAGACCTGAGACTGGGACGGAGATTTATCTTCCAACAAGACAATGATCCAAAACATAAAGTCAAATCTACAATGGAATGGTTCACAAATAAACGTATCCTGGTGTTGGAATGGCCAAGTCAAAGTCCAGACCTGAATCCAATTGAGAATCTGTGGAAAGAGCTGAAGACTGCTGTTCACAAACGCTCTCCATCCAACCTCACTGAGCTCGAGCTGTTTTACAAGGAAGAATGGGCAGAATTTCAGTGTCTCCATGTTCAACACTGATAGAGACAAACCCCAAGAGACTTGCAGCTGGAACTGCAGCAAAAGGCGGCGCTACAAAGTATTAATGTAAGGAACTCTCGTGAGGGTTTGGACCAAGATCACAACACAACAG